TTCGAGTGCTATTTGGTTGATTTAGTGCTAAAGAATAGCACTAAAGCAGCACGGGTAACTAGAGAAAAGTTAGTTTGTGACATGATGCTTCACATAGATGTAGGTTCCCGCAATATAACTCTTGAGCACTTAAGTCTGAAAGCTTCTTCTTCCACTTATATTACTTAGCGAAATGGAGAAATCAACGCTTAGGAAAAATCTGTGGCATGCTACACCACGCTCACTAGCAACTACTCATGAGGGACCTCTTCTCCACTGATAGGAACTGGATTCAATTGAAGAATGCTCACTAGCAACTACTCAAGAGGGACCTCTTCTCCACTGATAGGAACTGGATTCAATTGAAGAATTTCTTTCCCCATCAAGCTACCAAGAAAAAATTTCAAGGCTGGATTTCATCTCTCAAGTCTAGACATCTAATGATGAGTACCATGCTAAACTGAATCTAACATTTGAATAATTCCGTATAATTTTCCACGTGGCACAAAATGGCCCCATTTCTAACATGTTAGACCTCCCTCAATAGGGACAACTCAAAAATGAGTCTATAGATCTAAATGGTTTGAATTCTCTTATCCGGGGTTGTCATGTCTATAGTGTCAGTTTCTTGAACTCAAAATTGTCTTGGACACTTACCGTGAAGTCGGTTGAAGTCTCTCCCACGAGCTCAACTACAACTATGTGCATCTTTCCTCAATTGGAAGTTGGTCCTCCTCCTTTATGTTCTCACCATCTTCAGTGTCTATTGCGTCATTACCCAATTTTTCAAGAACCTGCTCAGTGAAACAGATCACCCTGGCTGTGCAGTCTGATTTCTTTGTTGCGTTACAGATGCAGATCGGTTCCACATGTTCCCCACTCTGAATCAGTGTTTCCTCTGGTGGGGTCATCTTCGATAGGGCTGTCAATTTGGCTCGTTGTTCGTGAACAGCTCGTGTTCGGCTCGTTAAGCAGCTCGTGTTTGGCTTGCTCGTTAAGCCTAACGAGCCGAACACGAACAAATTTTTAAGCCCGAAATGTAAACGAGCCGAACACGAACAACAGTTTGTTCGCTTGTGTTCGGCTCGAAATGACTCGAAAAAAAATTTTATATAACAATATATTGCATATATTATTTATATAATAATATATTATATATATTTATGTCTAATTTTAAATCATAACACCTCATGTAGCAATGTGGTTAGTGTCTTCTTTTGTATAGATTTGATCCAGATTCGAATCACACACTTTACATCTATTTTTCTTAATTTTAGTTTAACGAGCCAATTTCGAGCCAAACACTAGCCGAACACGAACACGAATATTTAAATCGAGTCGAACACGAACACACTGTTCACGAGCCGATTTCGAACACGAGCCGATTTCAAACACGAGCTATTTCGAACGAGCCGAACACGAGCCAAGCCTGAGCTCGCTCAAGCTCGGCTCGTTTACAGCCCTAATCTTCGATACTCTTCTGGGTGTACTCTCAGTGTAAGATCATGAGGTTGAACTCTTCCTATTAGATGGGTTGGTCGCTCGGTGATTTTGTCCCTCCACTTCTGAAGCTAAGTTCTGAACATTTTGTCTGACATTAGTTAGTAGAAACTGGTGATATATCTCCCGTATTATCTTCATATTCGACTCTCCAGATCACGGCCAAGGGTGTGTTCCCCCTGGCTTTCATTCTAAATGTTTGCAAGCCTCCGTTGAAGTCTGTAGATCTCTCGTTGTATCTCTTTCTGATTAGGCTCGGGCATGTATCTCTTTGGTGACATGGCTAGAGTGTGAAGTGGGAAGTAAAAGATCGGGTAAAATTTGATTTAGTGTTTCTGAATTAGAAATTAGCAAGAGAAAATTAAAATTAGGTCAAAATTTTGGCTATAATTTGGGGACTATAAAAGAAAATTTTTGAAAGGGTAAGGCAGATTCTAGAAATCCCAATGATAGAACTAGAGTTAGTCTAGCTCTAATACAAAATAATACTAGAGTTAACCCAGAAGACATTAAGAAAAACATATTATTACTGGAAGAAAAAGGGCGGTTACAATCAAACACACCTGAAAGAAAACGTACAACACACACGACATGTAGCCGTCTAGTTAAGGAAGATCACGGGTGAAGGTAGTGAAGGTTAGAGGGCTTGGTGGGGTAGCAACAAGATAGGGAAGGGGTTTCAGGGTTGTGGGTGAGGAGCGGCAGCGAGCGGCAGCGATTATGGGTGGCTGAAACAACAAGACAACAAGGGGCACTCCCAAGAATGGATATCTATTTTTGGGAAACAGATTATGCATACAACAATGCTCCATATGTTTGGATTTAATATCTGAATGTCATAAAGAAGTTTTAGTTGATCATTTTAGCGAAGACAAAACATTGGTTTTACTCGAGAAAATTTTTATTGACCATAATGTGATGAGAGGTGAATAGTTTCATCAAACAATGCCAAACTTGTTGAATTGCTAAAACTATTGGTCAAAACCACAGATTGTATACAATTCTGCAGATTCTTGAATCTCCATGGATTTATGTTATTACTGATTTTGTGATTGGGTTGTCTCGGATACATTGCAACAAAAATCCATTCTGGTGATAGTGAATCGTTTTTCTAAAATGGCTCACTTTATGCTATGCACTAAGACTGGACGACACACACATTGCAAATCTATAATGCAACGAGATTATGCGATTACACTGAATCCCTAAGACCATTCCTTCTAATAAAGAACTCAAATTTCAGAGTTACTTTTTTAGTACTTCGAGGGGAAAGTTCGGAACTAAACTACAATTTATTGCAGCTGCCCATCCTTAAATCGATGGCCAGATGGAGACAATCAACTATATTTTGAGTAATTTACTGCATTGCTTTGTTGGAAAGAACATACAGCAGTAAGATCTCATCCCTTGCACAAGTGGAGTTCGCTTTTAATCGATCCCGGAATCAAACTACTGGGAAAAGTCCTGAAATTTTGTATGGTTCCCAAATCCAACAACTTTGATTAATCTTATTGCACAACAATTTGCTTCTCCTTATAGTCCAGATGGTGAGCATCACGACCAAGAACTACAGCAATTGCATCAACTAGTCAGAGAAAGGATAACTAAACAAAATTCCCGTTGCCAAAATCAGACCAATAAGTCACGCCAGTATGTAGAAAAGAAAGGTTCTCACCAGAAAAATTTGCAAACTCAAACAACATGCTGATGGACTCTTTGGAATTATCAAAAAAATTAATGACAATGCCTATCAAATTGATCTACCCAAGAATCTAAACCACCTCCTAATATAGGGGAATGATGCAAGAGCTTTAATGTTTTAATAATGTTTGTCTGTTTCGGTTTCAGTTTATTTTATTTCAGGTTAAACTGTCATTTCAGGTCTGGATTATGTTTAGCAGTCTCGGTTTAGCGTTTTCGTTTTTTTGGCAGTCCCGGTTCGATTGTGTGGAGTTGGCTGTTTGGGCCTTAGCTTTATTGTATAAATAACCGCTATTAGGAGGAGAAAGACAGATTGTTTTAGAAGAAGTTTTTCTATTTTAGAATAACTTGGGTGATTCTTGTTGTATCCCAAAAGTTTCAGGTGGTTAGTTACTTGCGCTGAACAGAGATTCAGCCATTGTTGTTTGATTGCTGAAAGAATTTTCAGAATTCTATTTCACGTGGCTTTTTCTTTTTCACTTGTTTCCTTCGGTTGTTGTTTCACGTGGCTACAAGGGTCTGTTTGAGGCAGTTGCAGCTATTTGAAAAAAGCAGCTGTGAAGCTATTGCAGAAGAAACTGTGGTTCAAAAAATTCCGGTGGTGATTACAAAAATAAAAAAAAATTTAAAAATTCGAACAGCAGCTTTCTAGCAACCATCACACTTAGGGTATGTTTGGGGCAACTGCGGATGTTTAAAGAAGCAACCGTGAAGTTGCTAAGAAAGAAGCTACTGTTCAAAAGCTGCGGTGGCTATAACAAAAGAATTTTGTTTTTGAAAAAGTCGGGTTTAGTGGAAAAACACAGCTGTTGGCTGCAGCTTTTTGAAAAAGTAAGTTTTGCCAAAACAAAAAAATTACGGTGCAACACTGCCCCGCCACCGCACTGCTGCCCCAAATACACCCTATATTTCCCAAAATTTTATATTAGGGCAATCTATCAAACCTCAAATCCATGCTTGCAAGTGTGCTCTACAGAGGGAGGAGGTAAAGAGAAGGATGGTGATGATAATGATGCATGAACCAGTTCAAGATAGCACATGTGAAATATTTAAAAATATTTACAATCTTTTCATCCTAACAGCATAACAATAGCATCATCTAAAAGAATTGAACTAACAGAATAACAATAGCATCATTTAAAAGAATTGAACCATGCATCACCCGCTATCACAAAGAAAGAAATTGATGTGACATAAACAGAAGAAATACCATTTTATACGCATATCTGGCCCATATTGAATTAAAATAAAGCAAAAGGAATGCTTATACCTAAATTACCGATTTACAGACCAAATTTAGCAAAATAGAAATTTGAACAAAAACAGTGATCCGTACATTTTTTATTTCTGACAAGCTTTGCATTTTTTGGCTAATTTCGAAAAAGTGCACAATGCAAAAGATCGTCCTTTAGATAAAACAAATAAAAACATGGCATCTAAAAAAATTTGCAACTATCGGTTCAAAGTTGTGTCAACAACGCAGTAAGTTGAATTTTTGCCAATCAAATAAAAAAAATACTTGAAAAGTGATATAAAAGAAATTTATCAGGACTTGCAGAGGATCCAATAATTGCTTTAAGTGATCCAAAGCGCAACCAACTCAATTTTTCATTCAAATGATAGCAAAATAGATATATATATATATGAATATAATGAATAAAATTTCTAAAAATATTATTGCTTATAACAGTAAAAGAATTGATAAAGTACTTCACAAGAAAGAACAATAGCCATGAGTCCGACAAATGCCATTTAACAATAGATAAAATATTTGAAAATGCTTGACATTAGCTAACTAAATGGCACATAACACAACAAACCTCGACATGAAGGGAAAGCTTATCGATTTGCTCGCTGTATTGTGGTAATGCTTGAACCATTTTCTGCAAATCCCTAGTTGATAATTCACCGCCATCTCTGCATAGTACATAGTTGAAAAACATGTAGCGCATAATATCCATTCCATGAAAGCAAGCATGCTTAAAATTTATTTATAAGAAGTTGTGAGCGTCAGCTAGGTAGGGTTGCAAATGAACACAACTGAGCTAAGCACCATCTTACACATATTTGTTCATTTTCTTTATTAAATTTGAGCTGAGCTTGAACACGAACCAAGTTTTAAAATCTTGCTCAAGCCTATTTATTTATTTATTTTTATTGAGTCCGAGACATAATCAAGTTTTAATTAAGCCTAACAAATTAAATATTTAATGCTAATGATTTAATCATATGACCTTACCACTAGACATCAATGGATTTTTAATCAAATTGTTTATAATTCACTGGCTAGTATTTAAATTGTCTGCTGAAATTTGAATATCATAAAAAAAAAACCTATATATCTAATTATTTATTTGATATTTTCATCATATTTGTACCTCTGACAATCCACATAATTATTACAGCTCATAAGATATAAGAAAATTGCTACAAGAATATAGAATAAATCAGCATTAAGTAAACATTTTATGGAATTCATAGAAACAAGTATTTTCACAAACATAAATTGAAAAGTTAAATGGTGTTTAAACTTTTCGATTTATATGACAAAATTTTAAAATTTTGTTCAGGCTTATTCATTTATGTAACTAAACAAACATGAACAACCATTGTTTGAATGAGAATTAAGTTTTTGTCGAATACATTTGTTCACCTACATACTTAGCTAAGGAAAATTATTTAGGGGCATTTACACACATAGCAGCACACAATACTTGTGTGTTTACACACCCCACACCTAAGCTTTCATATTACACATGTAGCTCAAATCTTTAATATCACATCAAAAATAGCACTATTATTACTTTTTAAAAATGAAATACACCATTATATGTAAAGGTTTAAAGCACTAAAGTGCTATGTATGTAAATAAAAAGTTTAAGTGTGAGATATGTAAATACATAAGAGTTTTGTACTACGTATATAAATTTCCTAATTAGAGAAAGTCGTCTTAGATGGTTTGGTCACATTAAACGTCGACCATCTAATGATCCGGATCCGACTAGGAGAGTAGATGTTTTAGATTCAACTTGTGTTAAGAAAGGTGGAGGTAGACCTAGGAAAACTTGGGCTTATTGTATTAAAAATGATCTTAATTTACTAGAACCAAATGAAAATATGACACTAAATAGGACGCAATGGAGAAAAAGGATTCATGTAGCCGACCCCACGTAGTGGGATTAACGCTTTGTTGTTGTTGTTGTTGTATATAAATTTCCTAATTATTATTAGACTTTTATTATGATGCATGCAATGCATATATTCATTTAAAGAAAATTCAGGCTTAGGGTTAACAATTAGTAGCGTTTGATATTAAACACAAGTATACTTGCTAACAAAGATTTCACTTTGAGAGTTCCGTATGGATCAGTCAATATAATAACTGGGGACCAACCCATGAGTAAGGTCAATCCACACCTCACATGCTTTAATCATCAATCATGATCGAATGCAAGCTCAAGACATAGTCTTCAATCAAGGACTGCACAAGACATAACAGTAATTATCTTGCCCTTTTGCAATCCTCCATCCAATTTCCTTTGGACATCCAATTTCCTTTGGACCTAGGAAGACTTGGGCTTATTGTATTAAAAATGATCTTAATTTACTAGAACTAAATGAAAATATGACACTAAATAGGACGCAATGGAGAAAAAGGATTCATGTAGCCGACCCCACGTAGTGGGATTTACGCTTCGTTATTGTTGTTGTTGTCGTTGTATATAAATTTCCTAATTATTATTAGACTTTTATTATTGTTGTTGTTGTTGTATATAAATTTCCTAATTATCTTTTAATATGAATAATTAATTAAATATAAATATGTGTCAATGACGTGTCGTGTTCTATTTTTTTCAATTATATTGTATCCTCATATTACGTGCCGTGCCTTTGTCTCGATATTTGTATCTGCGTTACTTAGATAATTCTCTATTACCACATTTTGCTCTTTTGTACTAGATCCATCAATCATTTAAAGTTAGATTCAAGCCGAATATACCTCATAAATCGATTTTATAATTTAATTTCAAATGGTTTATTTGTGGAAAGCCAACACATTTAAAAATAGTAATTTAATTTCTACTTTTTTTTGTGTACAAAAATGAAATAAACTGCCCATTGAAGGTTTAAATGTGTGACCTTTAATAGCAGATAGTCAATTGAATTTGATAAGAGAAAGCAAAATATGTAACAGTTTTGAGATAAAGAGAGAAGAAAAGAAATAAAACAATGGAGATACAAAAAGAATATATGAGCCAATTCTCTCATGTCACTCTCTAACACTCACAAAGAAACTCGCAATGAAAAAGGTGAACCCATCACAAACCAGAAATGAGTCAAACCGTTAGGTTCATCAAATAATGACATGTCATCATAAGGCTTTCTTTAGACAGATTAAATTAGACCCACATCATGAAGTTCATACTATATCTACGGGCTTTCGATGCACATGTTAAAATAGTCCCCCCATTTTAATTAATTGGTGAAACCTATCACTCATATTTGGATCTCAAATCCACGGCTTCTCTGCAATACTTCAATGCAATCTAAATTATTCTCCTTGGCATCAATTTTTAAAAAGCCTTTATAGATGGATGGTTGAATAGCATATTTTACTAGGCCATTTGTGACTAGAGCCTTTTATGGAATTAGATATAATTACCCTTTCTACAAGGTTTGGACTTGGTCTCCATCGTCAGGATATTAGTCAAAAGTGAGTTTTGAAAATATCTTTCTTGCATCACTTGTCAAACTTAAAATGAAAATTCACTAAGTGTTTTAAGGTTTACCATGAGATGAGAAATCCTAAACTTCAGACGAAGGACTTCCATTTGGTGTTCATAATGCTCCTCCGATCCCTTTAGTGGAAGACCCCCTTCTAACAATTCGATTCTACACCCATATATGAAGAAAATTAAATTCTCTTCTCGGATAGTGGTTGGTGTTTCAATTCTTACTAGCTCCTTAATGTTAGACACTTCATCAAATATTGATATTATCACCGAGCATATTACAAAAGTTCTTGAAATGCCTTAATATTATCACAGTAAACTTCTTATTTTGATCGGAACATTCAAAACATCAACTCTCTTGTGAATACGAGAATTCAAGTTCTTCGTATCAAAATAGGCAAAAATTAGTATTTTATATCTTATTTGTGATGATATATCTTTTTCCTTATCTTCCGAATTTTCTTTGTAAATGTCTTTGTTGAACTCGTATCATTATCTTGTCAATATATTTTGTTTAAGAAAAAAAAAGACTGCACTAGAAGACTTCCATAAATGTTTTAAGCCTCATTTAGATCGAAGCCTATGGGAAATTTAGTCTTTTATTATTTATTATTATTTGGTATAAATACAGCTTATTAGATTTATAAGGACATGTGTGATTGGTGTCTTCATTCATAAGATTAGAGTTTGGGAAAATTGCCTACCTCTCCAATTTTAGGTGTAGAGTTAGGATTTGGGAGAGATCGTCTACCTCTTGAATTGTAGATGTTTATATTTATATATTCAAATTGTGTTGTTTTGTGTTATTAAAGATAAGATTTGTTCTCCCTAATTTGTGTGGAAATTCCCTTTGATTTTTATCAAATTGGTATTAGAGCATTTGATTCGGGGAAGACATTCGACATAATTTCTACGATTCGAGCTAGTAGTGAAGCCGATGGGATAGCGGCGTGACCTAACCTAACAAAACAGTCGCAATTCTAGTGAGTTGGCAAGCCTACAACTGGATTGTGGCGTACAGATATGCGGAATCACGAGTTGGGAAGCCTCTCGATCATGATTGAGGCATATAGTGTCCTTCATGATCGAACCCTAATAAAACAAGAATTATAGTTGGGGTGTAGAGGTGAATCTCATGATATGGTCGCGATTGGAGCTAGCTACGAAGAATAAGGGATGTCGGCGAGTGCAGGGAAGCAAGGGCAGGATCTAACATGCCCTAGTCGCGATACAATTGCGATTCGAGCAAAATGGGAAGCCAAAGACACAATCGCAGCTTACGGCCTCGCGGTACAGTTGAGATTCGAGCAACAACGAGATCACAACAAATAAAAGTTCCGCTTTCGTGATCAGAAATCATCCTTGGAGTAATGTCAAACAAAAAAAAAGAGGATTAGGAGGAGAAATTAGAGAGAGACATGATCCAAATCATATCGAAAATAGAAAAGTGTTTCTCATCTATGGAGGGCCAACTCTAATCTATGGAGGAAATTATGGAGGGGAGATTCACGACCTTCGAAGAAATGATGAAGAAAATCATGAAATTTCACACAAAACCGCCTACCACAGGATTGAGTAACAGTGTCAAGTACGGATGCTAAACACTTGGAAGAAATGGTGAGACATTCTAAATCCCGGTACAAACCAAAACATATAAGAAAGAGAGAATGAGTCGGAAGGGGATTCAAGCGACAGCATCTGGAGGGCATTGTACGACATTTGGATGTTTGGAACAAGCGGAAGTAGGCAAAATGGAGTGGTGTGCGATTCGGGATTAGAAGATTGATTTGAAGAATTTTGTCCTGGAACAGAAAATCGCAGTGGTTGAGAAACCGACAGAATGGTTCATGAGTAATGATGGGAGTGAGGCAAGTACATAAGAGCAGGGTAGTTTGTAAGGGACTGATTTTAACACAATTGGAGAATTCAAGAGAGAGACGAGATAGGAGGTGCTTCACGATAACCCAAGTACGTGCAAGGCCTTTGTGTTGGTGAATCCATCGAAGGTGACAATTATATTCGAGTGACCATTACATAAGATCTTGAAGGGGTTGAGAGAATATCTAGGACTTCGAATACTATCGGAAATTCATGAAGGGTTTTCATTTTACTGTGTGGTCGTCAACAGAGAAATGAAGAAGGATAACTTTCAGTGGAAGATGGTGGCGACCCAGACTTTTGAAAAATTAAAGAATGTCATGACAAGTATACCAGTGCGAGCATTATCGGATTTTAGTCAACCTTTCATTGTAGAGACCGAAGCTTCAGGCTATGGATTAAGCATAATTCTCAGGCAGTATTAATGACCCATCACTTATTTCAATTAATTGTTGACGGTGAGAGCCAAACTCAAGTCAGTTTATGAGTGGGAGCCATATAACTTGATCCAATAGCAGTTTCATTTTTTTGCACCTTGAGGATAAGGTATTCTTTTGGGAGGCGAGTAATGTTAGACTGGCACCTATGAGCAATTTAGTTTTTTTTATTATTTATTGTTCTTTAGTATAAATAGGGCTTAATAAGTTAGGGTTAGGGCATACTATGAGATTGTTGAATTGAGTCTTGGGATTAGCGTTTGGGAGAGATTGCAAACCTCTCGAATTGTAGGAGTTTATCTTGATGTGATCGGATTATATTATTTTGTGTTATTGAAGAAAAGATTTGTTTTCCCAAATTTATGTGGAAAATTCCTTTGATTTCGTGTCATTCTCTAGTTAAGATATCGTGAACACAATCAAAATTACATATTCCTTCAGTTCTTAAGGAGATCAGGCTCATTGAATTAATCTTTAATCCACACCAGGAAAGCCAGAAGGCAATAATTTGTATTGCATGGGTCAAAATCCACCTATAAAGGCTTTTATATATCTCAAGTAATTATAATTTTATAATGTTGTGTTGTGGTTAGTCAGCCCCTTATCCTAGAATACTATTTTGGATATCAAAAAGATTCATTCATTACCATCTTTGTTTGAGAGAAGGTTCACTGAGAACTGTCATTTCAATAATGCATAACTCTTGTTCGACGAAACTACTGGGATTAGAAAAAGTTGATTTAACTAAAAAAAAATAACCTAAGAAAAAAAGAAACAATAATCATCCGAAGTTTGCAACTTATTTTAAGATTGTGGGTCAAGTGCATACTTCATGCTTAAATTAGATTTAGCATCTTAGGTGCATAGTCACCATTTTTACAATTGTGCTCAACCAAACAACAAAAATTTTGACGGCTAAAATGCCAAAATTATAAGAATCGTGCAAACCCTCGTCGTCATTAACTTTATCCCAACTCCTGGGATCCAATTCAATAATTCTTATAATCTATATGCTCACCTTAAGTATCACAAGAGAGGTCATATATATATTTTTTTTGAAACTTTGTTTCTACAATTTCTGTTCACTCTAGCTTCAACCTAACCAAACTTATTGGTGCTTCTTGCTTAGGGATATTTTTCACTTATTTTTAATAGAAGTTATTCTCCTCATCCTTGGAATGCAGAAATATGAAAAACTAAAGAATCAAAATTGTATAAGGTTCTTGATCTTATTAGTCCACCGATATTATTAGTCTCCATGGAACCCAAAAGAAAGTTTTAATGAATAAGTTGGTGATGATAAAAGCAACCACAATAACACTTCACATACCAACACGAAAGCCTCATTAACAGTAGCAAAGACCAAAGGTCTTTAATCTATATGGCCAGATTTATTGTAAAACTTCTCAAAAACATTTTCTTCACCTTCTCCAATAAAGGATCTAATTTCTATTATTTAATTTTCAAAATTATAGTTCATGTAGCTAATACCTTGAGCCGTGATGAATTTGTGCAGCTTTATTTCTTGATATGAAGTTCGTCATCTTATCATGTAGCCTTTCGCTAGCCTGGAATACAGTTAGTTGCTAGGATTCAACTTCATATGTCTATATAAGAAAAAGGAAAATTTACAAACACAACACAATACAAATGAATTTACATATCTAACAACTAAAGTTTAATTTTTACATACATGCCACCTTACCTATGCATGAAAAGGTTTATTTCACATTTTAAAAGTTAAAATGATGGTATTTTTTATATTATGAAATGCAAAAAATTATAGTTTAGGTGTCAGATATGTAAATACATAAAAATTGGGTGGTATGTAGGTAAATGTCCCTAAGAAAAAACTTCAGGCATCGAACTCACGTCTGCTATATGGGCATGCCTAAGCTCAATAAATGTCCCTAAGAAAAAACTTCAGGCATCAAACTCACGTCTGCTATATGGGCATGCCTAAGCTCAACCCAGATAGGATCATGATCCTCCAAAAGAACCTCCTTCTTTTCAGATGTTGAACCTGCCTTGCTAGGCACCTAAACATGCTAAGTCATATTCAGTGAGAAACATATCAATGAGCAAGAAAGAGAGAAAGCAATAGATGTGAAAATAATAACAATAAGACGTTACCTCATGTACAAATTTGTTTCCATCCATATTTAGCAAATCATGGCACATGGCATCATAAGTCCATTCATGAATGATTGGAGCAATCTACAAATTGATCATGAATGAGCAATTAAACAGGTATAGCACACCGTATCAAAGTTATCAACCCTGCAGAAGAATAAAAAAGCCACACATCTTACCTGGTCAACTGATCGGTCTAAAATTAGTAACTCACAGGTCTCTGTTTGTGGAAAGTCAGGGATTGAAGACCTATATTTGGCAAGGCAATGCCAAACAATAGCAGCAAGCTTTGTTGGGATTAGATCACGAACACTTGTCATAGTCGAAGCATCTAAACTTGACTTGGCAGCACGGTAGCGAACATAAGGGAATTCCTAAAACGTATTGGAGAAACAGAAGAATACATTAAAAATTTGAATATGGTGAAATTTTCTGGTGGAAATTTTATTGCGATACAAGAATAGACCACAATTAAGTCTACAGCTAATTTCAAATGGTTTAAAAAAGCTTACAGTGCTAGTCAGGTAAATTCTTAGATGTTTCCATCACTGGATTTCCCATATTGATTTACAATAAAATTTATAAATAAAATGAAAATAGAAATTAGTGGATTAGATAAGAGTGTAACATTCAACTAACTTCCAAAAATTTGCAGCAAAATTTTCTCGAACTTACGGATCGAAGTGTTGTATTAACCAAAGGTCCCTGTACAAAATTTATCATCAAAGAAGCTTCTTCAACAACAGCAACAATCCTTTATTTTATCCCTCTAAGTGCTGTCAGCTACATAAACCCTTTTTTCCCCACTGTCCTACAGGGGGGGTGGCGCAGCGTTGCTGCGGCGCGTCGCATTTCATCGAAATTTTTTTACTGAGGTGCCCCCCACCTGCACCCCCGCGCTTCGCAATATCCTTCTACCCCAACTTCGTGTCTTCTGCCCTAACTCGCTCCGGAGCTCTCGTGTTTTCTCCCGTGCCTTGCTCGTCCTCGTCCCCGTCCCATATTTTCTCATCTTCTTTCTCTTTGTTCCCCGAGACCTATGAGGAGGGTTTCCGGAAGTTTGTTTCTTCTTCTGATATCCTCTATCCCTTATCTTTTCTTGGTGGATTTGCTATGTTAGCTGAATTGGTTTGTAAAGAGTTTCTTTGTGAATTTGCTTGATGGGTTTCTTTTGTTTTCTGCGTAGCACCCATTTTTTGAGATTTCTTGTTTTTTGAGATCTTTACATTCATAATTGGGGCAGTTTCGGCTGCTGATGCTTCGGTTTTAATGTTTATGTTGGAATTTGGTGTTGGATTTGAGTGAGAGTTTGATATTTGAGTGATAATTTGAAATTTGAGTGAGAATTTGATATTTGACTGAGAATATGAGAAGAAGATTTTGTTTTTGAGTTGGAATTTAGTGATAGAATTAAGTTGAAATTTGATGTTGGATGCTAATTCATAATACGAGTCTCCTTTTCTCAAAATTCCTCAAATGAAGTGTTATAATCAAGTACAATCTCATTGGGAGGTCTGCTGTCATATGTAAATGGTTTTTTTAGTTGGAATTTGGCGTTGGGTATGAAGAATTTTGAGCATAAGAGGAGGTCTGTTGTGTTGTGGTGTGTCGTGGTGTTGTGATGTGGAAGTTTCTTGTGGATTTTTTAATATCAAAGCTTCGAGTGGTGGTGTGTTAGAGTGTTGGAAATTGAGTGAGAATCTGAGAAATACATACCAATTGGGTGGTGTGTGTGGTGGTGCGTGGTGGTGTCGTGGTATGTGTGATGGTGTGGTGTGGTGTTGGTGTAATGTTGTTTGGTATGGTTTGGTGTTGGTGTGTGTGTTGTGGTGGTGGTGTGCTGGTGTGCTGGTGTGTTGTGTTGTGATTCGGCTGCTAATGTGTGGTGTGGTGGTGTGGTGTGGTGGTGTGGTGTGTAAATGTGTTATTGTGGTTGGGTGTGTGGTGGTGTGTGTGGTGGTGGTGTATGTGGATGTGTTGTTGTGGTGTGTGTGATATTGTGTGATGTAGTCGTGTGTGATGTGGTGGTATGTTGTGTGAAGTGTAGTGTTGTTGTGTTGTTGTTCGGCTGCTAATTTGTGGTGTGGTAATGTAGTGTGTGAATGTGCTATTGTGGTTGGGCGCATTAAGGGTTTAGGAAGATTTGGTGGTGTGTATGGTGTTGTGTGGATGTGTTGTTCTGATGTGGTTGGTGTGTGGGGGTGTATTGTTGTGTAGTGGGGTGTGTGAATGTGCTATTGTGGTTGGGCGCATTGAGGGTTCAGGAAGTTGTGGTGGTGTGTATGGTGTTGTGTGTGATGTGTTGTTCTGATATGGGGTGTGTGGTGTGGAGGTGTGGTGGTGTGTGGGGGAGTGGTGAGTGGGTGGGCCATTGTGGAGTGGTGGGGTGGTGTGTGGTTGTATTGTTGTGGTGTGATGGATGGGGTGTGTGGTGTGATGGGGGTATGGAGGTGTGGTGTGATTTGTATTGTTGTGGTGTGATGGGGGTGTGTGGAGGTGTGGAGGTGTGGAGGTATGGAGGTGTGGTGTGATGTGTGGATATGTTGTTGTGGAGTGATGTGGTGGTTCGTGTGATATTGTAGTGTGGTGATGTGTGTGGAGGGGTGGCGGTGTGGTGTGTAGAGGGGTGGCGGTGTGGTGTGTGGATGTGTGTTGTGGAGTGGTGTTGTGGTGTGTGGATGTGTTGTTGTGATGTGGTGGGGTGTGTGGAGGTGTGAAGATGTGGTGGTGTGTGTAGTGTTGTGGTGTGTGGATGTGCTGATGTGAAGTGGTAGGGTGTGTGGATGTGTTGGTGTGGTGTCGTGAGGTGTGTGGAGGTGTGGTGTCGTGAGGTGTGTGGAGGTGTGTCGTGGTGTGTAATGGTGTGGTATGTGGTGTGTAATGTGTGGGTGTGCTACTGTTGTGTGGTGTGTGGTGTGTGTGGGCGTGTGGTGATGCGTGTGGTGGTGTGGTGTGTGCATATGCATATATTATTGAATTCTTATTTATGTTAATTTTTTTTTTTCATCATAGTAATACAATGTTAAAGAACAAAGAGACTGATTCACTCGCAATGTTGGACAAAGAAACAAAAATAATATTTTGTGACATTTGCCTTAAAAAGATCGATCTGGGAAATAGACCTACAACATATTTCAACAATGAAGGGTTATAAGAAAATCCAAGAAAAATACAGAGTATGATAGAACGTAATTAAGAAAAAAAAGTAGGATCAGCTCAAGAAAGATTGAAAATTTTTTAAGGAATTGAAACGAGGATCAACGGACTTGGGATGGGATATAGTGAGCAGTAGTAGGCAGATAGACTTGCGATAAGCATTTTTGAAAAATCCCCTAATTTGATCAATTTTCATTTTGATTTTAAATTGAAGTAGATGTTATATGAATTTATTGATGGTGCTGCTACAAAGAAATTTAAATTCAGTGGAATCGATCATGAGTTGGAGAATAAGTTGATTCGTATGTTTGGGGGTGTCGTGGTTACGGGCAACAATGCATGTGCCCCCTGTAAGATAGGGTTTGGTGGCACCCTCGAAAACTTGGAGCCGACCAATCGAGTGATTCAACAGAAGTCCCTAGCCCGGACCTCCATAAACTTGAGTCCAACTGTCATTTTAAGCGTACACGGATTGAGAATAAAGAAAATTGAGAGCTACTTTCCTTAGAAGTCGGATATCACGGTTGGTGGCTTCATGCAGCGCTAAACCCTGCACATCTTAAGCAACTTCTGTCGGCCAATTTCTACAAATTTTGAATGGAACTAAGGAAATTTGAGGAGTTGCCGCTGTATTTGTTTGCGATAGATTTGCTTGAAGATCCGAACCGTAGAGATATTTTTGTCAAGATGCTCGATGACCGTTAGGTGGTGTACCTATGATATTTTTCATAATCGCAAGAACATTTGATAAACTTTTTTTATTTCTAATTGCTTGGAACATTATATTTTTTTTATTATTTTTCATTTTGATTTGGATATTTGAACTATTTGGGACATGGCTTATTCATTGATGCTTTTGTGTTAGCCACTACAATATTAACATACATGGACAACTAGATAAAGGCGCAAATGAGAGTTGCAGCTGTCACATGCTTAATGTATGAACATTATAACTAGTACATAGAGTGCTCCGCTTGCATGACATCCTCATATGCTGAGAACAAAAGGATTAGGGAGTTGCTTGCGGGCCACCCAACGAAATTTAACAATATGTTCTGCATGACATAGACGATATTCAATGATCTGTTTGAGAAACTACACAGAAATCATTGACTTCATGGCTCTTCCAGGACGACTTCGCGAGAGATGTTAGCGATAACTCTCTACAAATTATCACAAAATGAATCAATGTGATGAGCAATAGAGCGATTTCAACAATCCTCCAAAAAAAATTTCAGATACTTCTAAGCAGGGTTGAATGCACATGTAAGTTTTTCTTCACAATTCATAAAACCAACAAATCCTACGTTTTAACGAACCCCCACAAATATTTCACACGATGCACTGTGCATGTCGTTCTTTAAAGTAATTTCTCTAATTTATTACATTCGACTTTCAAAAAACAATGTTATTACGTAACCCATCGTAATCTCTCCAAAATTATATTAGAGCAATTGATGGAACACAAGTTGATGCACGTGTTCCAAATAATGAAAATATTGTATTCATCGGTCGTTGTGGGTCCCCGACGCAGAATGTCATAGTCAATTGCGACTTCAGCATGTGTTTCATTTTTGTCGTGACCGGTTGAGATGACAGTGCACATGACAGTAGAATTTTCAAAGCTGCAACACAGAATAACAAGTACAACTTTCCACATCCACCCATAAGTACGCTTAAGATTAAGCTACTCACCTAATTCACTTTTCCCTCAATACTAATCAATTAAATAAATCTATGTTTATTAACCAATTAAACGTATTTATATAAATCTATTTTTTTGTTTAGCATTAAATAAACCTAAAAATAGAAACTAATCAATTAAATGAAAAACAACTTGCTTTAAAAAGCTAATTAAAAATCAATTACAAATTTTATTATAGTTTTAGTTTTAGATATTATAGTTTTGATTTTAGCTATACTAGCTATAAAAATCAATTAAGAAACGTGCAATTTCAGTTATTTAGGGTCTGTTTGGGGTAGCTGCAGCTTATTGAATAATATGCTGATAAGCTGATTAAAAATAATCTGCTGATAAGATGGGTGCGGTGACTATTACAAATATTTATTTTTTTTGGAAAAGTTAGACTGCTGCCTGAAAGTTGCCACCACACCTAGATAGGTGCGGTGTGAAAACGCTGTTTTCGGCATTTTGAAAATGCATAAGCTGTCAAAATGCAGTTTAAACAAACATGTCATTAGTCCCACAACACTTGGATGTTTAACTTACCAATGTTTTTATGGAAACTTTTTTTGCAATTTTATGAGCCAATAATGCACGTGGGGTGTTGGTGTCATGTAAAAGGGTTTGGAGGAATGCTTCTGGGTGGATATTACCGATGGAATTTAAGACTTTTTTGCGTAGATTTAAAAAAAATTAAGCGGAATAAAGCTCATTTATGTTTTCAAATAAGCTGCCTGTTTAAAGCTAGATAATCACAAAATGAATCAAGCTCAATTTAAGAGAATCAAGCTACTACAATGTCCAGAAAGCTTGAATTAAGCTTGAACCGACCTCACACAATCTTTTGGTAAATGAGCTTGAGCATGAAGAGCCTTACGCGACTCAACTTGATTCATTTATTGCCTTAGTTGCAGAAGAAAACAAGGTAAGACGATGAAATTGACAGCAGGATTTAACTTTAAAATGTATTTCTCTTGAGCTCCATTTCTTCTTCACACGTTGCAGGTCCATCTAATGCCTTCCCTTGCGAGCACATGACATAACCTCCAAACAGCACGGTTCTGTCACTGTCCTCTCTCAACGAGTTCCTGTTCATGACTTCCTTGTTCTCATGTAAGTATAGTGACGTGGACAAGTGATTGCGAGGGTTTTCATTTTTTTTAATAGATCAACACTTATGAGGTAGGATAGCCATGGCCAATGATATTTTTTCAATGAAATTATTACAAAAAGTTATACATGTATCGAATCAGCAATAATAGGATGCAACAAACATCAATCATCCACGTGAATAAAAGAAAAGGAAAAATAATTCAGTTAAACAGAACGAGAAAAATAGGCTGCAAAGTTTCATTTTCATCCTCGCCCTACATATATCATCAGTAGAAATTCATTTAACTAGCAAAAGATGATTTCTTAAAATGTCAATCTTAAGGACTGCAACAATTGTACCTTCAAAGAAGCAAACACCGTAGCAATTCGTGTAGCAATCGTCTGTAGAGTTGCATTGTGTGCCAGAGAAATTTCTGCAGTATCGCCAAACAACTCTTCCAGAGCCCTCTCATGATCAGAAATGAAGCCCTACATGTGCAATGTAACAATCAGGTTGAACTGGTATAATTAATATGAAGACTATTACCAAGTTCACACATGATACGCACAAAATTAGAAGATAAAATGGGGCATTTACATACATACCAACCAATTCTTATGTATTTACATAACTAACACCTAAACTTCAACTTTTTTACAATTATACCACCCAAATATTTCATATCACATCAAAAATACCACCATTTTAACTTCTAAGAAGTGAAATACACCTTATCATGCATAGGGAAGGTGGCACGTACCTAGAAATTGAAGTATAGGTGTTAGAAAAGTACATAAGAATTGAGTAGTATGTATGTAAATACTCCAAAAAAAAATTAAGAAATAGAAAACTATGAGCACCTGACTATCAATGGCAAAGTATTCCAAGTTCATCTGAAAATGTTTATAGAAAAAGAACAATTTAAGTATAAAAAAGAGAAAAATTCCCATAAAGAAACCATCCTTAGTCACTGATAGAAAAGAAAAGTAATAGTACAGGATGAGATCGATCAAGATAATGTTAACCTCACTCAATGTAGATAGGCGGGGTCGTACACTTGCATCACTCTTGATGTGATTGACCAACTCCTTAGATATAGGTGAGCTAAAGAACACAAATGCTCTGAAACAGATAAAGTAGATCAAACATAAAAGTATCATTTAAAAAGCCCTTCACTAAGCAACTTTGCATCAAAACCAGTCTGAAAAACGTACCTTTTATACAGAGGTGACCTCCCTGACATGTCGGAGAGGAACATGACTACACTGCATAAAAAATTACTAAATGGTGAGAACTAAAATAAAACCACATATTAAATTTATTCTACCATTCCTATTAGAGTTAGATTGCCCAAGCAATTTATAGTTACCATTATAAATACTAGGAATTGGCTTCTATTTGAAGATAGTTGGCTGAATTAAGAAAAGACATTTGTTTTTCTCATGGCTGATTGACCTCCTTCCATCTAAACATAAGATTTATTGATGCTTTCTTTCTCTCAACCTCCCTTATTTTTAGCCATCCATTCATCTTATCTTAGGGATCCCCTTACACTCTTTACCTCACTCCACAAATAATTTGAGGATCATCCTCACAGCATGATATATTGAAATTTTGGTACTAATCCAACTCAACCGAACTTCCATAATATGAAAGTATTCAATGAAATAAAGGTTACATTGTTTAGTAGTGGTAAAATTTATTTTAATTTCGTAGATGAGTGCAGCAACTTTCACTTATGAATAAATTTGTTTAATTGCATCCCAAAACCTCTTGACACGGGAATAGGTTGGACCGGTCGGTCCAGCATGGAGGTGTCGTCCAACAGAGAGAATGGACCGGTAAGCCGGAAGGAGTTACCGACCCTTCCTCCCCCTTATTTCATACTCAATTTCCTTCTTAATTTATTCCTTAACTTTTCCATCTCTTTTCTTACCTATCCCTTTCCTTCTCCATTACTTACTGTTTTTTATGTACCCTCGCCTATTATATATAGACTAGTCATGCTTGCTTAGAGGAGGCTTGACTTGTTTCTAATTTCAGAATTCTGTCACCAGTGTTTCTCCCTTCTGAGTGTTGTATCTGACGAAGAGAAGATGCTCAGGCTATAACTAGTCCGAGGAGGAGACCATCCACTGCGGTCAGACATCTCCAGTGCTACTCCGTCTGCCAACGACCGCCTCCAGAACCTTCCAGCAGGTCGCCCCTCCTCTAGCTCCCATCCAGCAGGACAACGTCTCTCCTGCGCCTAACCCACTCGCACCTGCCAAACAGACCACCCACCCCTATTGATTCCTCCAGCACTACCACGCCTCCCTCCCTTCCCTTCCCTTCCAAACCTACCGCTCTCCCTGAGGGAGTCGTTTATTGTTTTGTGATGTTTTTATTCTTATTTTAAGGAGTCATTTTCGTCGCTTGACCGGTTGCATATTTGTGTTGTTTTAAGTTGAGTCGTCGTTGTAACTTTTGAATTCAGCAATAAATATTTTGTTTAGTCATAGCTTGGATTAACTCTGATATCATGTGGTATCAAAGCTACCATAATCCTAGTCCTATCAAAGAGCCCTTCCCCAAAAGAAAAAAAAAATCCAAACAATGACAAACCCAAACTCTAAACATGCCGCCAAAGAGTAACATTTCAAACCCTACTTAGGATAAAATACAACAGAAGATCCATCGTATGCAACAAAGGCTGACCGAGATGGATAACGGGACCCGGGGGAGATTACCCTCGACTGCAATATGGAGAGTCAAAGGGAGTCGTCGAGGAGGTGGATGGGAAGTCAAATGATAGCCCAAAGGAGGAGATTTAGCACCAAGGAGACGAGGGAGAATTGCAAATCATACGGAGAGTTTTGCAGTCAGAGCCGGAGCGAGATCAATCCTGATTTAGACATAATATCCTTCGCACCAAGTGCACAGTAAAGGCCAAGGTCTGCAGCTTAATCATCGACAGTGAGAGTTATGAAAATGTGGTGTCAACGCTGATGGTGAAGTAATTGGGATTGACTATGTAGAAACATCCATAATACAATTCCCTTACTCAGTTGAAGAAAGAAAACGAGATACACTTGCCACATTTTGTTGGGTAGGTCTTGGCAGTTTGACCGGAAGACTCAGCACGATGGTTTCATGAATACTTACTCCTTTAAGAAAGATGGGAAAAATATTGTATTGTTACATGTTAAGGATGAAAGAGGCAGCGGCGACACAAATGAAGCATTAGTCCTCTGCGCAACCTTCATGTAGTCAGTTTGGGACGCTCCAATGGCACTGGTATTAGTCCTCTTAGAGGGAATTGATGAGGAGAGTGAGATAAAAGCACTACTGCAGTCACTACTACAGGACTTCCAGAATGACATGGCTGACAGTCTTCCAAAGGGATTACCTTCATTGAAGGAAATTCAGCACGCTAAAAATCTTATACCAGGATCAATGTTGTTGATTCGACCAGCCTACAGATTGAGATCGACAGAGTGTGAGGAGTTACAACAACATGTACTGGATCTCGTAGAGAGAGGGCTAATCAGAGAGAGTACTAGTCTGTGTGTTGTCCCGCCCTAATGGTGCCCAATAAGGATGGATTGTGTTGATATGCATCGACGGTAGGGTCATCAAAAAGATTATCATTAAGTACCAATTTCTCATACCTCGCCTGAATGATCTCTTGGACTAGTTACATGGAGTCACCATCTTTTCCAAGATCGACTTGCAAAGTGGGTATAACCAGATACAAACGAAGCCAAAAAATGAATGGAAGACTGCTTTCAAGACATAGAAAATCTATACGAGTGGACAGTTAAGTTTTTCAGCATGTCAAACGCACCCAGCACTTTCATGAGGTGGATGAATCAGGTTTTTGGGCCCACATTGGGAAATTTGAAGTGGTTTATTTTGACAACATTCTAGTATACAACTGATCTGAGGAGGAGCACTTACAACACCTGAGGGAAGTGTTCAAGATAATACGAGCAGAAAAACTATATGCCCATCTGAAAAAGTGTCACTTCATGACGAACCAATTATGCTTTTTGGATTATATTGTATCTAGTACAGGTATTTAGATGGACCTTACAAAGATCGAGGCCATTATAAGTTGTGCCGCATTGCAATCGTTCAAAGAGCTGATACAATTTTTGGGGCTAGCATCGTTTTACAGGTGCTTCATAAGAAACTTCAGCACTATCATTGCTCCTCTGATTGAGCTTTTGAAAGGAAAGGAGATCACTCAGACAACTATAGCTCGGACCATTTTCGACACCCTGGAAGAGAAGGTGACTCGAGCGTCATATATAGCATTACCAAATTTCAACCAACAGTTCGAGGTAGAGGGTGATGCATCCGGCGTGGGGATAGGGGCAATGCTGAGCTAGGCAAGTCGCCCAGTCGCCTTTTTCAGTGAAAAGCTAAATGATTCCATAAAGAATTCCTCAACATACAACAAAGTGTTACATGCAATTGCAAGAGCTCTTGAGCACTAAAGTCATCACCTGTTGCGAGTTTATGTTGTTTACGGATCATAAAACCTTGAAATTCCTAAGCAGCCAAAGCAAACTGAAGGATCGACATGCCACGCGGGTGGAGTTTCCAGCATCATTTTAATTCGTGCTTAAGCACATGGCAAAGAGCCAGAACCTAGTAGCAAACACACTGAGTCGTCGTCACCTCTTCATCACGTCGGTGCAGACTCGAGTTATGGGTGTTGATATTGTAAAGAACATGTAGGAGGCAGATAAAAACTTCAAGGAGATATGGGAGCAATGCTAGGAGAAGCCTATCGGGCAGTACTACCAAGTTGATGGCTACTTGTTCTACCCGAGTAAGGTGTGCATTCCTAGATACTCACTACGAGGGGCTATTTTTCAAGGGATCAACAGTGAAAGACTGGCAGGGACAAGGCTCTTGTATTGGTGAGAGAGCACTTCTTTTGGCCCCGACTGACGACAAATGTAGAGCGACACATGAGGCAGTGTCGAATTTGTCATATAACAAAGACTGGGGAGCAAAATGTCGGATTTTACACCCCTTACCAGTACTAAAGGCACCGTTGGTGGATGTCAGCATGGTGGAGAAACTTCTGAGGACATAGCAAAATAAAGATTCAGTCATGGTCCTTGTGGATCGATTCTCAAAGATGGCACATTGTGTAACATACCACCAGACATTGAATGTCTCGCATATTGCCAAGTTGTACTTCAGAGAAATCGTAAGACTGCACGAGATACCAAGAACCAGCACGTTAGACAGGGATGTCAAGTTTTTGAGCCACTTTTGAAGGACTCTGTGAGGAAAATTAGAACCCAAGCTTCAATTCAGATTTGCAAGGAAAACTAGGCCCTAAGCTTCAATTCAGTTCCACAACGGACCCTCAAATCAACGACCAGACGGATGTACTAAACATGAACATTAGAATCTTCAAAGAAAAGAAGACAGAATTCTAATGTATGTGTTAAAAGAAATACCCGTTCTGAAAGTAGGAGAGGTTGTTATGGAATTCTTCAAGAAATAGTGCAATTGCAATATATGAATTCTATTAAGTGCAACGTATTTTTATTCAACTGTATTTGGTTTGATTATATTCCTAATCGAGAAACAATATCAACAAATTCATATGACATCCGAAGTTAAAATAAATAAATATATGTCAAATTTGATTCATTCGTTCTAGCACTTCAAGCTAATCAAGTATATTATCTTAAATACTATGGCAGGGCAAGAATAAAACTTGACTGGACTGTATTTATTAAAACTAGGCCTAGAGCGATTATTGAGGTCCAAACTATTGCTAAACCTGCTCGTCAAAAGCATAAAATATCATATTTTCATTTTCCTCTTGAGCAAAGGGATACCTTAGTGGATGTTAGTTGTGCAAATGAAGAAGTTGATCGTGATGTGGATGAGTCTCAAGATAATATAGGTGCGAGAATTTAAGTCAACCTCTACTCATTCGTCCGATGAATCAAAATAAGATGGGAACTTACAGGTTTTATATTTTGCATGGTTTGTTCTGGTGTTTCCTGCATTTACTTATATTGTTTCTTATTTTTACTTATGTTATTTTCTGCTTTTATTTTCGTTAGTTTCCAGTTTTATTTCATTTGTTTCAAATTTTTGTTTCTGTTATTTATTGTTTATAATTATTCTGATCAATTTACTCTTCATTACAGATGGCTACAGACGGTAGCAATGATCAAGGTCCTTGGAGATCAATTGCCTCCAACTGCCTCCAACTTCTTCTGAAGAAAGAAGCTGGTGATTTCATAGCCCACCGTGCAGACGGCATCATTATGACGATCAAAACTTCAACCATGACCGCGATGCTCGTCAATTCCATAAATCTACCTCCAATTACCCAGAACTACCACATTGCCACCTCTGTCTTCCTTCAAGGTAGACCCCTCTACTTCTGCAAGCCTGTTTTCATGGACGCCTCAAGACGGTTGTAAATCGAGCTGATTGGAGATTCGTAAGTAATTGAACTTATATTAATTAAAATTATTTTTATAATAAATTATATGGCTAATATTAATTTTTTGTAAGTTTTATCCATCCAGACAGCCCATCCATAGAATGACAGAGATCATTATGACAGTGATCATTAAGAGTAAGTATAATGCTCCTTATCCATCATGGATGAAGATCTCGATTGAGGTTCAGATATATGGTTTAAGACATTCGATGTAAAATTAATTATTTTGAATTACATTTATAAACTCAATTTTTTTATAATAGCTAACATTATTTAGCATTTGTTTTGTAAAAAAAATTGTTGATAGCATCAACAGTAAATCTAGAAGAACTTCGAGACCCGATGCCAAAAACACTTGCTAGATATGTTAACAAATATTCACAAGAAATGAAAGAGGCCTATCTAGTTAAACGGTGATGTATGAGCTGAGTTATCCAAAGTGTGATTCCGCCTAAGTATCTCACAAAAAAGGGAGACGACACAATAAAATCAAAACTCGGATTGTGGGGGCATTGGTACCTCCATGCACATCGGAAACTCGATTCTCCATAACGAGAATGGAAGGATAGTAAAATTTATTCCTTGTATTAAAATAATTTATTAAATTATTTTTTCCTGACTTTTTTATATGGTAATAGAGATTGACACTTGGATGAAAGCACAACGAAACTGAGTTGCACGACCGCACACATCAACGTCAGGTAGACCACCAGTGGTTCCACGAAAAATCTCACCATGTCCACGTAAGTTGAATGATATTTGTTTATTTGTGAAATTTATTTACAATTTTATTTTGATGTCAAGTATGTGCGCCTGAAGAAATCATGGAGTCAGAGTCCAATGGAATATCGTAGCTCTAATGGGTCAGTCCAACCACTAGTACTTCAAAATATGGAGGGAAGTTGTCAGAAGGAGAAAGAAAGGGAAGATCTACAACCTCAACGCATGGGGATTTGTCTATGAGGCACAACACTCCGGTTTCAATAAAAGGTCATCATCGATAGATGACTTCGATGAGAAAGTCTCTAGGCGTGTGGCCGCACTGACCGAATAATTGTGTACCAGCTTCGCTGCTAAGGTATGTGAGATAGAGTCCAAGATGAGCGCTTGTGTACCAGCTTCGTTGCTAAGGTATGTGAGATAGAGTCCAAGATGAGCGCAACGGAGCAAGTCAATGATGTCGAGTCAAGAGGCTCGAGGCAACTATTCAACAGCTACAGCGTCAGGCACATCTCGGTGGAAAACGATCTTTGGTCGAGGAGGACGGCATGATTTACTTTTTTTCTGTGTAGAACTTTATTTATAATTTTTTTCATTTATTTTGTGGACAGTATTGTACTGGATGATTTGTTGCTATTTGTTGGTACATTTATTAAAATTTCATTCAATATCCTTGTCTTTATTTGTTCTTTTACACTATTATGATAAGTTATGAATATGGATATTTGTTCTTTCGTTTTATAATTGTAGGTGTGTAAAATTACATTAGTCAGTGCACTATTTATTTGTTTTTTTCTGCTGCAGGTTACCGGCTGATTAGCAGCTGAATTTTCAGCCTTTAAATTTATGGCTGAATAATCAGTTTTTATTCATTCGGTTTAACTTTTTAGGCGCTAATCAGTCGGTGTAATTTCCTGGCTAGAAAACTCAGCCAGCATTGCTTTTCCAACAAGCCTTTTCCCGGCTGGCGGTAATGTGGTTTACTGGCTGAAAAAGATGTGATCACCCATTGATTTATCAGCCAGTAGACACTTAATTTCTTGTAGTGTTGGATTGGAAGGCTCAGAAGGTCAAACTACAAGCAATGGCACTTAGGAGGATGGCTTGATGTTCGAATCATGTAGCAAATAATCAAAGCATAACAAAACAAGAAATAAAAATAAACAAAAGATATGAAGAATTTGATTGCTATCAAGGAAATCAACATTCTAGAAGTAATAAATCCCACACTTTACAGTGTTTCATTTGACACCTAGGCAAAGGTGACATCTAATGGAATGTGAAGATTAAAAGGCATTACGGAGACAAAATTCATGCAAGTAAAATACAGCCACTAATACAAAGAAGGTATTTCTGATTTAATTTACTAAAAAGTGAAATTGTTGATGAGTAACTAAAGTTAAGTTTTTTCCTGCATTTGTGAATAATAAAAAAGTTAAAAAGTTATTGTTGAAGAAAGTTAGCAAAATGAATAATGGAAAGTGTGATCAGCGAAAGAGTAACTAAATGACATGAATCTATCAACAATGATTGGGAGTTGTACTTCTCTCTGGTTGGCTGTATAAAGTAAATAGCATCCATTGATGGCATTGGCTGTCTTCTCTTGTAAATGTCTTCAACCACTGAAAAATGAAAAGAACAAAACAAAGTTACTTAAACAGCATGGGAGTAAAATTACTTCCAAGCCCTCAAATAAATGCGCATAAACTCAAGGCAGGCACTAGATATTCAAGAGTCACTAGAATGTTCAAAATCGGAAGAGAAAATCATTTTAGATTTTTCCTAAAGCGAGAGTTGCTATAAAGAAATACAAATGTATGGGGTCAATTCCTATTTACTACCATGGTATAGTTAAAGTAAAGAAGCATTCAAGATATGAAAGCTAGAAAGTTGCTCTGGGTAATATTGTCTAATTTGAAGCACATGCCAGCAAGCATCAAGCAGGCTGAGATAAGCCAAAATAACACAGCCTAAAGAAAGCAAGTGTGAATTGGATAGGGCAAACTGACCCAAGGCCTCACAAGCTGCACGCAGGTTTTTCCCGCAACAAAAGGCCCAACGTGTTTCCCAGATTGCACGAGAGGTGTAAAGACAAACAGAACAACAGAAGTACAATTTCTTTCCAATTTTTAGCAAGTTTCCTCACATCCTTTTCTTCATTTTTAGTTTTTTTCTTATATATGTGTTATATTAGGGTTTATAAGTCAGTTTTTGGCAATGAGTTTGTTTAGAACAACAATCGGCATCTGTTTTCTCCCTTCAAGGCCTGTAACTGAGAGATTAGGTGGTGTTCCTGTTGTATCTCTCTCCTGATGTGGTGATTAGCTTCCCCTATCCTCTTCCGAAACCTCCCACATCGATCTCGACCGCCCCTTCCCTACTACTGCCGCCCGGAATAGCCTCTTTTTATTGTTTTCAGCAGTCAACCGCTATCACCACCTCTTGGCAACTGTTCAGCCTCCCATATCCATCATCGCCTTGTTGTTGTTCTAACCACGAGGAACGCCCTTCTATAGTTTTGGATGTTATTCCAGCAGTTTTGAACCACTTCTCTGCCACCTAACCATTGTCCCAGTCCTTCTCACTAGCTATCATCACTATTCCAGCCCTCCATACCCGCTGACATCACTTTTCCAACCCTCCATCTTTGTTGTCGTTGTTGTTCCAGCCCTCCCCCTTCGCTGCCATCATCCAAACAGCCATGTGACGTCAATATTTGTTGTGTACTTGTTGTCCAGAACTAACGAAACAATTGTCTTGTTGTTTTATGCTTGTCAGCCGCCTCGTCCATCATCCCGCCACCTTTAAGACCATTGTCGATCACCACAACCACCACCACCACAAGATTTTACTCTGGTCATGTGTCATGAGTCGTATTATTGTTATTTCCCTTACAGCATGTCGCGAGTCGTGTTCGTTGTTGTTTTCCCTTTCAAGTATGTTGGTTGTAACCGTATATTTGCTTTCAGTAATAATACTTGATTTTCTTATTATAGATTGGATTAGCTCTGGTATCATTTGGTAACAGAGCTAGCCTAACACCAATCCTATACTAAGATTTTCTAGCATCCACCATACCCAAACCTATCAGCATCCCTCCACGCCCGCCGAAAAAATTTTCCCCTCCTTTTCCACTCAAACCATACTTACACCGACATCACCCCTACCTACACCCCAAGCCCTAATCAAGTCACTGAATAGATAATTTTCAAAGACCAGAAATAGAGGAAATGTCACGATATCATTTATGAGAAATTTGGAAAAGGATATCCATGAACATTCCATGGAGAATGTGCGGCTAGAAATCCTCCAACTACAACAAATGTTTGCTATCTTCGAGACGAGGCAATCTGGAATGGTCAATTGTAACTACAACGGTGACTTGCTAGATCTAAGGAATGGAGTAAATCTCATCTACCATACGAATGTCAGGGATGAACCTCTAGCCAACGAATTGACCTAAAATATCCAATAAGTCGGGATTTTGAAGTAATTGTGGATTTGTAACATTTTAACGGTCACTTGGATCCTAACGAGCTAACGAGTGACTTCAGACAATGAAATTTTTCTTTAAGTATCAAGACATCCACGTTGAACATAATAGTAAAACTAAGAGCCGACAAGTTAAAGATAAGTGCATTATTTTGTGGGCAAAATTTAAAGCACATACACTAGCATGAGAGAAAAGACAAGAACGTTATCTGATCCAAGATGAAACCACAGTCAGTACCTACAAGCTCACAACATATAGGGTGTTCGCACCGCAACTTCAAAAGTGAAGAGGCAACATCATTGGATGACCGCCACACCTTACAGCAAAGTTCAACCCCATGATCGGGTGGCAAGGGTACATCAAGGGGAACATTTAAGCCCCCATCTAAGGAGAAATCAATTCAGACCGGATAACACGTGAAGCTTATTTGTATTCCCAAATACATCTCAATCATGAAGTGTTTCAAGTGTCACAGATTTTAGCATATCGGATTAGATTGCACAAGCAGAAAAATCTTCTCTCACAAATCAGAAAGCAACTGACTTCGGTGAACCAAAAGAGGATGAATAATTCAGAGTGGATTATCAACTTCCAACCAAAAAAAAAAGTAATGTCAAAGACTCCAGCAAAAGTAAAAATAGTTAATCTAAAAGAATGTGAGTCTGAGGTAATAAGTGTTCAGGAAAAATATGAGGTTGTGATGCCTCAGGATACCTTTTTGCGGAGATTGAGAAGAGCATCAACAGAACTGGTATTTGATGTCCAAAATGACCATGAGTTTTAAGAGCTGTTACCAGACAGAGGGCAACCTCAAATAAGAAAATTATAGAATTTTCAGATATATAGCTTACCACTTGAGCTGCTTCTATTGAGGGATCCAACCTATTAGAGATGTGAAGCTTTTGAGGTACTTTTGGGAGACTATATGGAGTCATTTGGGTATCAGAATTAGTTCAGCAATATACCCACCGACAGATGTTCGAACAGGATGGATTAAACACAGCATTAGAAATTGCATTAACATTATTGGAGGAAAGAACATCCTACAACGGATTTAGGTTCTTCAAAAGAAAAAGAAGAGGCTTCTCCGATGCAGTTGCCACTGAAAGTGATTCAGCATGCCACAGATTTAATTCTAGAGTAAGTTTCTCCAGAAGAATTTGTTTTTTGTATGCCCCTTGTCGAGTACGCGTGAAAGAGAAAAATTACAGATTTAGGGGCTCGAGAGTTACTTTATAAAAATCTACGTTGATATGTAGTTTTGGCTCAAGTTGTGCCAAAAGTGAAGGAATATTTATTTTATCAGGACATGCTTTAGAACGACAACGGCAACAGGATTAAATTACCGAGAGTTTGCAACATTCCTCTACCTTCAACAAAGTTGACCAGACTACTATGAGAAGACTAAAGTTTCAACAGAAGAGGTCAAAGCTTCTCCAATCCCGAGAGATTGTAGGGCGTCAAAACCGCAGGGGGGTTTTTTCAGTGACAAAAGTCCTGGCTCGCCTCCCGGATCGTACGAGAGGCGCAGAGACAAACCGAACGGTAATTGTTTGATTTCTTTCCAATTTTTAGCAAGTTCTCATTTCCTTTCCTTTCCTTTAGTTTTTTCTTATCAATGTGTTGTATTAGAGTTTGGAAGTCAATTTTTACCGTTAGATTATTTAGAATAGTCGTCGACATCCATTTTCTCCCTTCGAGAGATGTATCTGAGAGATTGGGTAATGCTTCGGCAATATCTATCTCCAGAAGCAGAGATTATCTTCTTTTATCCCCTTCTAAATCCTCCCACATCACTCTCGGCCGCCTGTTCCCTGTTGCAGCCACTCGGACCAGCCACATTTAAATGTTTTCTGCAGTTCCTTCTTTGCAGGTGCCTTTCCTGCCCCTCGATTGTTGTTCCAGCTGCTCATATTCATTTCCATCTTCGTTGTTCCGACCACGAGGAGAGCCCCTCTGCAGCCTTGGTTGTTGTTTCAATTTTTTTGAACTACTTCCCTACCACCTAACCACTGTCTCAGTCTTTCCCACTTGGTTCCATCAATGCCCCAACCCTCCATGCCCGCTGCCATGAGTGTTCCAGCCCTCCACCATTATTTTCGTTGCTATTCCAGCCCTGCCCCTTTGTTTTCATTATCCCGGTGAGGGTCATGCGACATCGATAAATGGTGTGTACTTGCTGCCCAAAACCCAAGAAATTATTGCCTTGTTATTTTATGCTTTCCAACCACCTCTTCCACCAGCCTGCCATCTTTCAAACCCTCGTCGAACACCACAATCTCCTCGAGATTCACCCTAACCATGTGTCGTGAGTCGTTTTGTTGTTATTTTCCCTTTCAGTGTGTTGTGTTTCATGTTTGTTTTTGTTTTCTATTTCAAGTAAATTGGTTGTAACCACCCATTTGCTTTCAGTAATAATACTTATTTTTTCAATTGTGATTTGAGTTAATTCTAGTATCACAAACTGAAAATACTCTATAATCAAAAGATAAACAGATGAAAAAGGCTTCCATAACTTACATGAAATCCCTTCGTAGGTGATATTAGCCATCTTGCAAGAACATGACATGATTTTGACCGTAAGCTTATCCATTATAAGTACCTATAAAACCAAGTAATACTTTAGAAAATGGTAAATATCATGAGTTCTACCTCATAAAGGCAAAGAATACCGAGGATTTCAATTGGTATTTCTACAGTATTGATGAACTGATGAGGGTATGGACATGTTAGGAATTCACTTTAAAAATGCAGCTCAACAAATAAATTTTGAAACTAAGATGCAACTAATTGAAGGCTAAGAAAATAAAAAATAAAACATAAAAAGAAAATAGTTAATGCCTTTTATGTTGAAAGTCAATTTACACACAGCTAGAAAAAATTTACATCCAAATATTTTCTGAATCAAAGCATGCAAGCATGCAACATAAAAAGATGAATTAGTGAGCTAAGCACGCAACAAATATCAGCTACAAAAATTTTACAGCTTTCTTTCTTAAAAATATGTTGTTCTAATATGTCCAATGCACAAACTGGACAGAATGACCGACCCACACAAATCTCATCAGTGGTAAATATATGTGGTAACCTACATATTTTTTGGGACTACACAAAATAAAATTTTCAAAATAAATGAGTTTAATCTTCTTTATTTGTGCTCCCTACTTGCATCAGTTTGATTCATCAAGTTGCATCATTAAAAATTAATTCTCCAATCAATGCTAGGATAATATTATAATCAAGTTAAGGCAGCAGCCCATTGACATATAGCAATACAAGGGTTCAATAACCAAAAAAACTCACAAAACTTAAATTTCAGATTCCAACTATAATTATGTGCCACAGGACCATAGATGTTCCATTGGAATGAAGTCATTTATTCATATAGATAGCAAAAATTATGTTCAAAGCTGCTGCATTTCGCTTCATATTTAACTGACGTGTAGCACTATATTTCTGTTGGAAAACAGTTTTAATATACAGAATAAGTTCTGGGTGTGATGTGAAGTTGGAAAGTGGGATCATTTCTAGTGTTTGCCGGGCAACAAAACTGGGAATTGAGTTTGGGATAACTGCGATTTTGTTTTTCTTGACTTTCCACCTCATTTGATTCTAAGTCAACAAAAAGTGGGAAAGAGGAATACCCTCAGCTCTGCATTATAATATATACTATTAAAAAAAACTTTATTATTGTATGGACAAATATGATAGTAATTAAATTATATAAGGATAAAGTAACAAGAGAGATGAGGAGCAAAAAGAACAAAATAAACAGTTAAAGTACCTTCCATCTAGTTTTTGAATCCTTTGCACGAGTTGCTCGAAGCATTTCATGCAATAGACCTATAAAAACAGCATATACTTGTGAAACCATAGCATAAAAGAAACAAATGATGAGAACAAGGCATGCATTAAAAAAAAAGTTATACACATTGGAATTCCAATATGCCACCGCTGGCATGATTTAGCATTGCACTTGCAATATATAGATAAAACTTCTTCAACAGAAGGTCAAAATTTATTTTTTCATGTTAAGCAAATGACATGAGTTCTAACTTTGCTTGATGAGTCTAATTTCATTCAAAAGTGCCCAAGTGTGATTTCTAAAATACAACCACAGTACCCCAAGATATCAGAGTATAGATATCTTACCACATTTCTTAAAGGCAAAATTGATCCGGTATTTTTCCCTCGCATGATATTTATTACGATCTTTGATGAAATAGTGGCATGGAAAGAAATATAGATCATAGAGCCTTGGAAATTAATGGTTTGAAATTTTTTGAAACCAATTATGGTGAATGTCAAAAAGACATATCCTAATAAATTATGTAAAATCAAATAAACAATAGCAGCTTCGCTTCAAAATCATGCTCTCTCATATTATCTTGCACAATTTTTATCAGTCTTAATACCCCGCACAAGTGCAAGCTCCATAAACCAATATAGACCTCCACTGCATTCAAAGATTTTCTGACTTTGTCTAACATTATTTTTTGAACCCTCTTTGCTGTAAACTATAAACTTATTTTTTTCACATCTTCCAGTCCGAATATCATCTTCTTTCAATTTCCATTTTCCTTTAACGGTATTTAATTTGTGTCCTCCACATACTCTCCTTTTAGCTACTTATCCAGTTCTTCCATAGTATTCTTCATGCTAATAAAGGGAAGGTTCAAGAGAACTGCAGCATTTCTATTTCAAATAAGATTTAAAAAACAATAAGATTGCAGTCATTAATGGTGCTTGAAGACAAAAGGCAATGTTATCCATGAATGAGAATGAGAAACTTGATCCTGACTGAATGTGCTCAAACCTGCCTTTTTGCCACAATTAAGCTATCAATAACTTAGTCGTGCTAACAATGCCATTGTAAAACTCTTTCAGTTGTTTTATATAACAAAAAAATAAACCAAATTTTCATGGAAAAAAAATGGTATTAACAATGGAAGATTTCATTCTAATACAAAGAAGGCCGTTAGCACACTTTGTTGGTTTAATAAGTTCGCTTCCCCATATGGTGCAAAATCTAAATGGAAATTCCATCTCCCATCTTGGTCCTAAACCATTTTTCACCTTCATCAAGTTTGAGCTGTCTCTATACCATATGAGCATCAGGAAACCTTCTAACCTTTCTATCAATTCGCTCTAAACTGTTTTCAGACACATCAATTGCTACATATTAGTTATCCTACTTTCCTTTTGCTCTCAGCCATTTCTTTTTCGGATTTCCTTCACGGGAATGATTTCAGCAAATTGTCAAATTGGCTATGTCACCAAATCCCACTCATTTCCCGCTGCACCTAAAAAACGAACTTCCAAAACAGCAGCTACACTACAAAACTTCCTAAAGTACAAACACTAATTATGGCATTGGCTAAGTTAAACAATCCAAGTTCCATCACAATAGTTCCCCCAATGAACAGCATTATATAGAAATTGAAGCCGAAGGAGAAGAGCAAGATCTTACGGTCCCGAGTTGCCTGCCGGAAATTCTTGTAATCTCCACTTCCAGATGTAAAATCAGAATCGGACATCGACATTTTCGAGATTTGAAAGCGGGAATCGGCACTTCGCCAAAGACTCGACCTGGATCGCTCCTCCTCCTCCCAAAACAGGGAGTATTGAAGATTCCGATAAAATTGAAGGTAAAAGAGAAGGCGCAAATCGATGAAAGATCTGAAACTTCGCCAAAGGGACTCGATGGGCCAATGGGTTGCCGATCAGAGAGGGTTGACCTTGCAGACACGGCTTGACCAGAAAGATAACGAAATGGAGGCTGTTAGCCTTCAAATTTTGAGCAGAAGAAGGGGGAAGTTGCCATGTAGAGAAGAAGAAGCGGGTCGGGTTGGGGCTCTGGCCGGCCTTCACCCATTGACTGATCGAAGAAACTATGGCGAAGCAACGGCAAGGGCTGTCAGGGAGAATTTTGACGCGGTGTTATTAAACCTCAAAAGATCATAAGAATATGTTAGATGAAAAATTTTAGGATATGCTCGGACTTAATTTGATTTTTTTTTATTTCCAAAAATATATTTAGTACTTATATTTAATATATTTTATGTAAAAAAATATATTAGCTTGCATTTAAAAACATTAAAATAATTAAAAGTTATTTTGAATATTTTAGAAAACAATTTGATTTATTTTAAGCATAAAAAATATATATTTTTCAAATAAATATATAAATAATAAATAAATAAATAATGTTATTTCAAATTGCCTCTTTTTTTTTTTTGGCAAAGTAGTAGTTAATAGGTCTTTCTAGCCCGAGCCACGGGCAATAGATGTGTGAAATACCCCATGATTCGCTCTTCAACACCAAATTTGGCTGAAACTATCTTACAAAGTGATTTGTCAAACTTAACACAATTTTTTTTACCCAACACCCACTGAAACTATCTTACAAAGTGATTTGTCAAACTTAACAGTTAAATTGATTTAAAAGGTTGACTTATTTATTTGGCCGCTCGACCAAACTCCCAATTGTCAACTCTCACATTCCCATGAGGTAAGACTTGCTCTTTAAACTAGTTCACTCTATTAGTGGTCCCGAGATTCACAAACGACAAAAGTAAGAATTAAAAATGAAAGGCTGACATACGTCCATGACCATTTATGAGTCATATGATATCTGCATTATCGCTTGCTTTTTAGGACGACATGGACAGGCTCCATATTGTATGAGCCATAATTTAATATTACTTTCCCTTTTTCTCTATATGTAAGCTGGCATGGAAAAAATATCCTTTTATGTGTCATATAAATAGATGTATCATATCTGGAGGGATTGGATCCTCTCTATTCTCTCCCTTGTCATCTCTTACACGCTCTTCTTCAGGTTTTGAGAGCACGTCAACTCTCTTCTTCTGCACTCTTCTCACACAAGTCTCTTCCAGGATGTTTAAGCTCACAAATGATATAGGTCCTTATGTCCTATAAGGATTTTACATCTTGAAAGGTGTGGTGCATATGGAGTTCATACTATAACCTAGCAAAGAAGTCTTCAATGTAGAAACAAAGAAAAATGTTAATTTGTTCCAGAGAGTTTATGAAGTAACAAATCAAAAAGTTAAGATAAAAAATAAGAACAATGAGATAAGAGAAAAAACAAGAATCCTCTAAGACTTGTTACAGGTCCTATGGGATCATTTGGAACAATAGTTAGTAGACAATAACAACCAAGAGGGTAACTACTAAAAGTGAGATTAAAAAGAGCTCTATCACCAAGGTTAGAGAAAGAAGAAGATAATGATGAGTTGCTCATTTTGGAGGAAGAGATCCTCGATTCCTCATAAGCAAGAGTGAGGAGAAGAGATATTGGAAAATGCATTTTCAAGCATCTGCAAAATTTAAAATTTCATCTTTTAATTCATATAAAGGGAGATCAGACATTGTTGACCGCATATCCTTTTTCAAGCTAGTTATATGCTTGAAAAGAGTAAATGATGCCCTAGTATCATTTTTTGTTTATGATACTATGGGAAACAATTGTACATTAGTTCAATAACTTGCATACAAAGTTCATCACCTCTTTCGGGTAATTCAAGCGGATGTTTGTACCTCTGTTGTTTAGTGATCAAAACCATAGAAAATTCACAAGTCCTTTTGAATATCTATCAAGAGCCTTCAAAAAGTCTCAAAAGTTTTATCATCAGGTTTCAACGATAGATGTTGAAAGTTAGAGACTTGGAACATGTCTTCGCTTACATAACACTAGCTCATGGCCCACTTGACGGTCCATTCCAATACAAACTTGGTTTACAAAAACTAGGGTGGTACTGCCTAAAAATGACCTTTCAATCAAAGAATATAAATATTTATCAAGTTCTCTTAGAACCAAAGAGTCGGGTATATATTCTGGAAATGACATTTTGGAGATTGTTGTGATCGAAGAATCAAATCACCCTGAGGGATACTCAAAATACCTCCAAAATACAACTTTTCCAATAAAATCAAGAGTCTACAGGCCCAAAAGTTAATTGAGAGAAAGCCAAAAAGGAGACAAGAACTAACTCGATTATCTTCAACATAAGTAACTATGTTAAGAGTTTCAATGGCCGAGATTATCAAGACCATTCAAAATAAGAATTTCTTACAAAACCCCATGTCAATGCGGGTAGAGAATCTCCAACGTGACTCAAATAAGTATTGTGCATATTGTCAAGATCATAGATGATACAGAAGAATGCTGACACTTACGAAACCTTATCGAGGAGCTGATCTGAGTGGGGAAACTGAAGGAATTCATAGCCCCAACGGTAAATACTCAGATGCAAGGAAAGCTTCTAAGGAACACACAAGCAATGAGCATATTTCAATTAGAGTAGTACACATCCTCGATGTACTGCCCATATCTTCAAAGGAGATGGACTTGAGGCCTTCCGATGATGCAATCTAAAATGATTGAAGAAAGGTTAAGTTAATTAGGCCACCTTCACTAAATCATTTGTTCCAACCCATCCACCAATCTCCTTTACGAACACTAATCTACCCACCAGAGGAAATCCTTTCAATAGCACCATTGTGATCAATGTGTTGAATATGGCCTATCAGATATGGAGTATCCTGATAAATACCGGTGGTTTCATCAACATCTTATTCAACAAAAGTCTTTAAGAAGATGGATATAGCCAATGCTCTGTTTACACCCTCCTCTGATCCACCCTCTAAATTTTTTAAAGAAAGAGAAAACTTATGTAATGATATCTTTATCAGTGACTAGGGGAGAAGGAGAAAATTTGTACGTTGCCTTGACTAATCATTGTGGATGATCCAACCATCTAAAATGCCATCTTCAGCAAACTTGTGTTAAAACACTTTCAATGAAATAACCTTTGCTTATCATATAGCTCTTAAGTTCCTATGTGGAAGAGAAGTTATTGGCGTCTGAGGTAACCTAGTCCAATCACATGCATGTTACTTACGTGCAAAGGAGAGCATGCAAGAAGACCCCCCACCAACTCAACACAAATAAAGGTAGCAGTCTGGAATATATCGAGACTTGTGCCCACTTTTAAAGAATAAATCTACATAACTTTTCAAATTTATTTTAGCTTCAACAAGGAGTACGAAGCCAGCCAATTATAGTATTGAGAGAATATTGGTATGACTTTTCCTGAAGTGCAAGAAAAATTTCTGGAGTAAGTGTTGTTGTCATCTATTACGGACTCAATGTCAATCTTGGAGTCAGGCCAATCAACAGAAAGATAAGAGTCATAGCTACCACTATAGTAGAACCTATTTAATAGGAGGCCCAAAAATTGCTTGACGCAAACACTAATTGGATAACTAATGTTATGATGGTTTACAATGCTAACAACAAATAAAAAATATGTGTTGGTTTCAAGTTATTTTAAGTTAAGCTTTTATAGCTTTTAATTTAGTATTATTAATATATGACCAAACTAACCATTTAGGGCTCAAAGATTATGTCGTTTTGTTTAATGAAAGACAAAATTCTATGCACTAACCAAAGCTTTTGAGGCTTGGAGACTATCTTCGGTCACTTGTACGGGATTTAGGCTTGTGAATTAACCGGAGCTTCTATGGCTTCAAGGATATGCATGATCATTATGAGGCAACATCAAGCTTTTGATTCCCAAACGTTATGCCAATCACTTATAAGTAGCTTGATGCTACGAACCATCCAACAATTTTAAGGCCTTAGATGTGATTTTTTTTTTTTTATGTGATTACTTTGAGCTTTAGAAACATGAAGTCTAAGTTAGTTTGCCATAAATATTTAAGAAATCACCCAAGTTTTTAAGGTCGTAGGCTATATTTAATCAAAGATTCCTTGATACGCATTCAAGTGGCACAAATATATGTTTGTAATTTCTTCTAATTTAAAGTAAATCATCATTTATTAAATTTATCTCTATCAAGCACCAACTTTTGTAAAAGAAAATCATTTAAATTGGGCAACAAATTTTATGGAGCTGGAAAAAATTTCTATAAATAATTACTCAAGCCGTCTCTGTGTTAACTTGGTTTAAATAAGCCATAAATTGTTGTTTAGAGTATGCCACAAGGATTTTCCTCAGGGTTGACCCAAGAATATCCCCTTTTTTTCATAGAGCACTATTAGTAGTGTTCCTATACCAAAAATTAAGATTTGGCATTTCAAAACAATAGAAAACAAAAAGTTGCTTTGAAGGAGAAAAGATGCTTGTGATCATCAACAAAATACACACATAAATAATTTATTCTTAATGAAATCCAACATAAATCTTCATGATTGTTCAAACATGTGCAAAGCTAACATGAAGGGTTTGCCAATTATGTCTTTTACTATCCTTTAATTACTTAACATTCATACATAAATTTAAGCAAAAATATGAAATGTTTGGGCATTTATTTCAAATAGATCATCTACAAAAACATTAATATTATTTTGTAACAAGTTCATATACACAGTGAGGCATAAATCTTTGAGAGAGTAAACATAGAAGCTCATATGAGATCCCCTACAAATACAAGGGACTTTATTATGCCTTTAATAGAGTATAAAAAACTAGTGATGTTTCCATGATCATAATAAATATAATGCTTTTGTTCATAAAATAAAAATACAGCTAACTCTATAGTAGGCCAAACCTCCCTTAGTATTATAGTCCTTATTTAAACTGAAACTTCATGAGTAAGATTATGTTTAGGGTAGTTAAATGCTTGTGGTGCATTTTAAATCACTGCAGGTATGTTTGAGAAAT